AATAAAAGACGAAGTGGCACGTGTGCAAATGGCAGGGGAGCCAAGCATGTTAGTTGGATAATACTCAGATTTCCAGTACAGTGATCGCCATTTTATGCGCGCGGCTAGAGAGAAGCGGAGGAACGCCAATCCTCGCCTCAGTCCCGCAAAGAGCACTCATTTTTCACTTCCAGCACCAACCTTCGGGCTTCCGCTTCACCCTGTTTCTTCTAAGATTACTCTAATTTGCTCAATCATGGATATTGATCCTCGTCAATACGAACACCTTGTAAGTTTCAATCTTCAACTGCTTTTCTTTTATTTATAATTTTTAAAAAAAAATTTATAGTTTCAGGATATTGAATTGTCCTTAGCAAATCACAAACTGCCCTCTTCGTGCTGATAATGTTTCTGTCTAATCGCATTGCTTGGAGGAAGTTTCACCTCATCTTGTCCAAGAGAAAATTTTATTATCTTGGCTCTTGTTGTATTGCTTAGGAATGTGGTATTTGGGGACTGTGCTGATTAATGGGTGTATTTTACTTCATGGGTTTATACCCCTTTTTTTTAAAAAAAAAAAATTATAAATTATGATTGCTGATTGTGTTAGGAGTTGTGTTTTATGGAGGTTAATTAGGGTTCATGCCATGTGCTTCTGTTGTTTGTATTGGTATGACAATTTTAGTCGAAAACTTGATTGGAAAGTGTATTTTCGGAGATGGTTTTGTTCTGGACAAAAAGATGTATTTTTTTATTTGCTTAAATCAAGGGCAGACTAGCCGAGTCTCTACCTAAAAATCTCCGTGTATGCTTCATTGAGGTTATTTCTTTATCTGGATCAACAGTAATGAACGTTGTAGCTGGGTATGTTCTTTGGGTACTTGTGGTTTGAAAAAACCATCTTTAATCTGTGTCTTCTGATTAATGGAATAATTTCCTTGGTATTGGCTTGAGAGAACAATAAACTATTGCATTGTCTTTTTTTAGCTCCCTCTTTGACGCAGTGTAGCTAAACCAATTGAAATTGATGATGTTGTGTTGCTGGGGTTGTGTTTCTACATTATCCCTTGTCTTTACATGTTTTGGAGCTTCTGTCCTTTACAGGCAGTCAATGATAATGACATCCACAACATTGTTATGTCTTATCTTGTGCATAATTGCTTCAAAGAAACATTGGACGCTTTTATTGCCTCTACTGGATTGAAGCAGCCTTCTGATTGTCTGGAGGATATGGAGAAAAGAAAAAGTAGGTGAAGCTTTTGTCTCTTGTTAGACTTTTCAAGATGCCCATAGATCATCAGCATATGCTTTATTGACATGTCAAATTGTAGAACTGAATATATGCATGATTGTATCTGCAAAGAAAAGTTAAAGGAATCTGGAGTATTTGACAAGATAAAAATTAAGTTGTTATTATTATTATTATTATTATTATTATCCAAAAGTTTTTTATTTTTTACCTGGTTAACTGCACTTCAAATACCCACTCCCACCCTTGGGTGCTAACTGAATCAATTAGAATTAATGAGAAAAACGTTTGAAATATGGTAAAGGGAGAGATGGATCTTGCCAGCCTTTTCCGTTTATTATGTTGGCATTCATCTTCTCATCATTTTTTATTAATGGTTTTGAATTAATAAGGTTAGTTCCCATAATTATTATGTATTTCCTCTCAGGGATTTTTAATTTTGCACTAGAGAGGAATGCACTTAAGGCTATTGAACTTACAGAAGAGCTGGCCCCTGACTTACTAGAGAAAAACAAGGACTTGCATTTTGATCTTCTGGGCCTTCATTTTGTTGAGCTTGTATGCTCTAGGAAATGGTGAGAAAGGCAACAAAAAGGAATTTATAATTGTGAACTACTCATTACCTTTATTTTAAATTTTTTCCTTCTTGTGGCAGCTCAGAAGCTATAGAATTTTCTCGCTCCAAGTTGTCTCCTTTTGGGAATGTGCAAAATTTTGTCAGAAAGCTTGAAGTATGTTACTCTGTAAAATTATCTGAAATGCATCTAGTGCATTTGTGCAATTATTTATCAGAGAGTCAAATTTACTTTCTAGTACTGCAGGAGTATATGGCACTGGTTGCTTATGAGGAACCTGAAAAATCCCCAGTGTTTCACCTCCTCAGCTTGGAGCACCGGCAGCAGGTTGCAGAACATCTGAATCGAGCAATTCTTGGTTCGTTTGCCATAACTACTATTCCTTGCACATCATTTATCTCGGATGTTGCGCATGTTCTTTCAATGTTATCTGTCAATTATGATATTTGACCATTCCTGCTTTTAAATGTAGTTTGTCTAACTGTTAACTTTTAACTTTTTGCCTGTTGGTCATGAATAATATCAGCTCATGCAAACCTTCCGAGCTATACAGCCATGGAAAGACTGATACAACAAACAACAGTTGTTAGACAATGTTTAGACCAAGAGCTATCAAAGGTAATTTATGGATATTTACATACTTGTTTTCATCTTTGCCCTAATCAAATAAAAAACTTATGTTCTTACATAAACGGTTTTGTTGGTTTTACATCCTTCGAGACCCTCTTCTTGAGCATGTCTGCAAATAACAGAGGTAAAACATGATATAATAGTTTGAGAAGAGAATATTAACGGCTATGTCCCATGTCATCTGAGTTTGATGGCCAGATAAAAAATGTCCCTTGTCATAAGTTGGGAAAAAATCATGGATTGTAATAAAGCACTCTGCTAATTTGAATTATGTAAACGGATTACTAATATTTCACCATCCAGAGGTGCGATTCCTTTCTTCTGACAGAAGGTTTTTTTGTGTTCCCTAGTAATTGCTTCTACAATGAAATGCCTTGCTGCAATTATGCTAACCACAACATACAGTCTTAACCAAGTATTGAACACTAATAAAGCATTGGAGTACGTTAATTCACATATTGATGGCTAACTAGTAACATGAAGAAAGAAACCTATGAAGATGTGGTGGTTGAACTATTGGGTGAAAGACCTTCTAACTTTTGTTTGATTTATTGTTTTGTAGGATGGACTGCCTCCATTTTCTTTGAAGGACTTCTTGGGACGCTGAGCTGAAAAGGTGTGAAGCTTAAGCATAGCTAGCTGGGAAAGGCTAAAAGGTCACTCATCCTATCTTCATGTAGTAATGTTGTAAGGTCATGGATAGGCTGTATCATCATTGTCTGCATTTCTGTACCGGTTGTCTAGCTTGCTGTCTCATGCATCTGGATATGCCTGCACTCCCTGAAGGCTGCCTCTTTTCTCAAGTCGCCACAAAGGGAAGTGGATTTGGTTCAACTCCGTGGTAGTTATTTGGATTCATGGTATGGTTGATCCAATGTGTGGGTTGTTCTTATACTTCATCTTATTGTTATTCATATTGTAGAAATTAAGCTTACTGTGTAACTAGAGTCAGGTTTTTGTTTGTTATAACCTATAAATTCTCAGTTCGTTTACCATATGTATATATTACTGTGATGATGAAGAACAGTTTACCAAGTAAAATTTTGCATTTTTCTAATCAAATTAATTATGCATTTGACTGCTATTTGGTTTTTACCCTAAGAAAAGAGCTTAAGAATTTTTCCTTTTAGTTGTAATTATTTTTTGATGGTTGTCATGATTTATGGAGAACATACATAAACTTTCACCACTGTTCTTTATCAGATTGTATGACTTTAACTCAAAAATTCTTACTTATATGAAAAGGAGTTTAGCTACCTTGGTACTTTGCTGAGTAGTTTGCCTGAGAGATAATAGAAGATAAGTGATGGTTTAAAAGACGTATATATTCGGCTAAAGTTGCAAATTGCTCCTTGATATTTTTGAGTTAAAGTAAATTAACACAAAAAGAAAAAAAAAAAAGAAAAAAGAAAAAAAAAGGAGCAAATCTCTACTTCAAAATTTAATTTTAACGAAATTGGCTCAAATTTGATAGTTTCCATCGACTTTTCATTAAACTCTAAGGGTTAGAGTTTAACGAAAAGCATTAAATTTGAACCAATTTTTCTATAATGAAATTTTGAGGTCGCTATCTTGTTTTGACATTCTCATTAAGTGCTATGTAATTTGACCAATTTTTCTAAAATGAAATTTTGAGGTTGCTATCTTGTTTTGACTTTTCATTAAGTGCTAAGTATTTTTAGGGGTGAGTATTTTTGGGTATATATTATGTATGAAATATATTTGGCACTTAAATTTTTGGGAATAGCTTTTTAGATTTGTTATTTAACTAAATACTTGAAAACTTGTAATTGATACTTAACCCAACATGTATTAGATAATTTGTGAGTATATATTTATATACTTCTAAAATGATATTTGTTTTAATTTTTTCCAAATTAAAATTTAATAAAATATTATTTACTTTCAATGTAACTTTAAATAATACAAGTAAAATTTTAATAAAATATTATTTATTATAATTTAAACTTAAACATAATCTAAAATAACAATAGAAAATTAAAATTTGGTTTTATATCAAGAACTCAAATTTATGTACTTTTAAAAAACTAAATTCAATTAAACAATTAACAATAAAGAAGGAAAAATATGTACCCAAAAAATAGAGAATGAAAAAAAATTAATTAACGGAATGAAAATGCTTTAAAGAAGATGTCCAAGTTTTTGGGCTTATAGTCTCATTAATTCTTGCTTTAGTTTGTTAGAAAATAATAGTGACCGATAATATTGTATTTATTTTAATATTTTAATATTCATGCTTTTGATTTACTATTTTTATA